CTTCGAGACTATAAATATTGTTTCTTAGTAAACTTTCATAAACCAGTTTAGCATCCAGTGATGTTTCTTAGCTGAATTGTTGTTCTGATGGTTGCCAAACGGTTGTTTTCCAATTTTATCATTCCTTCTACATTTATTAGGCATTCTATTGTAAAGAATACTTTTTCCCACAGAATGAGCTCATGGATTCCTTTTTTATTCAGTCTGTTACTCTTATTTGTTTTGATGTCTGATTGTCCCTGATTTAGTCAGCAGGAGACCTTTCAAGCTGGCTTCTGGGTATTTTTGACATGTTCTTACCATTTTTTGAGGCAGTCCTTACTTTCCAGCAAGCCATTTCTCCAAAGATCCCTAGTTTCTTTACGTAGAGAATGGTTTATAAACTAAGATCTGGGCCTGCAGGTTGTCATTACCTCTAAGCCTCTTCAACAGAAAGAGTTAGAAAACATATATATTAAAAATCACGGGTTTTATTGATAGCTCCAATTCCGTTTCAGTCCCACAGGGTTCTTCCTTGCCTTTCCCTATTCTGTATTTCTATATTCTTTCACAGTGGGAACCCTAGCTCTCAACATCATCAATATAATTACTCATTTTTTTATATTGGTCATGTATTTGGTCATTAAAAATAATTTTAATTTTTTTAAAAAATTAAGCCCATAGGAGAATTATACATGAGATGTCATTGGTATGTTATTAAAGAAAAAACTTGGGAACTTCTGTATATATGATGTCTCAGATAAGTTTGACAAATGAACAAATGGTACTAAATACTTTTTTCAATTCAGCTAACATTTATTAGACCTCTTTTTTTTTTTTTTGCTTATTAGCAAGAAATTGATAAGCAGCCAAATTAATGTAAAATTATTAAAGTAAGATATGACAATAAGAACAAGGAAAATATATTGAAAGAATAGTGACTAAAGAGAGGCTGATTCAAAAACAATAATTCTAGCAAAAAAAAAAACTAGGAACTTCTAACGTGGTAAAAAGAGAATGGAAATGAAGGCACAGATTTGGAAAGACCTAGTAAAAGAATATTTGACAAGATTCGTTGACTAAATATGGGGAGAATGAAAAGGTGAGAATGGTGGGTCTCATTTAGATGTGGTAGTAGTAGATTTGTCCACCAGATGGCAATGATGTTCTTTCCTGGTTTTTAATTTTCCATCATGCTAAAAGATGTAGCAACTTAAAGATCAAATAAATGAATTTAAGTCTCCAACAACGTCATGAACAAGAGAAAGCATACAATAATTAAATTCCTGGAAAATATTTATGTGTATTCACATGCATGTAAGTATACTGTATATATCTGCATATATATATGTATGTATGTATTTTTAAATATGCATATAATTAAACTGGCAAGAAAGTAATGATGATCCTCAGAGGCCAGAAGCAAGGAAAGTACAAATTAAAAAGGTGAACTAATACCAGAGCCAGTGCTTGCCTTAAGGAATATCTGCCAGTTTCCCAGGGTCTGAAGACTAAGTTTTAAAGGGCATCACATACATGGAAGACATAGCCCTGGGCTCGAGCAAGGTGGGAAGGTTAGATCAGAGATGTGCATAAAGTATAGAGCACTGCAAGGCAACAATTTCAGTGGGCTTACTAGAATATCCCCACATATGCACAAAGACTGGGGATGCATTCATATCTTGGCCTTTGCCCTGGGAAGACCAGGGGGAAAAATTTAAAATCTTTTCAGAGACTAAAGTACAAAGATCCAGAGATAAAAAATATGAAATAGAAGTTGAGATATGAAAGGTAGCGGAAAAGGGTCTTAGGTATCATCCAAAGTTCTACAACCGATATTTTAAAATTCATTTCATAATAAATAGTTTCCTTATAAAACAAGTGAAGTAGACATTTTTAGGCAAGCAGATGTGTTTACAACCAACAGATCCTCACTACAGGGCATTTCAAAAGGCATACTTCAGGAAGAAGGAAATGAGCTCAAAAGAAAGATACAAAATGTAAAAGAATCGTGAGTCCTGAAAATGGTAAATATGCAGGTAACTGTAGACAAACATTGATTGTATAAAATGATAACATCACATTTGTGGAGTTAACTAAAATACTGGAAAATAATAGAATATAGTTTAGTTGATCAGATTAAGTATTCAGGAAGGAAAAGATACAAACTTTCAACTTGGTCAAGTTAAAAATACATATTAAAATTTCTTTAACAATTGAAGAATAAAATAGAGTGCATAATTTCCAAACCAGAGGTATGTGGAATGAGGGGAAAAAGTCCATTTGAAAGAAGAAAGGGGGAGAGAAAAAGAAAAGTAACCAAGTAAGATGGAGGAAAAGTAACCAAGTATCTCTAATAATAGTAAATGTGAATATACTTAAAATTTCCAGTTAAAGGA